TAATTAAGCTAATAGAATTATTTTATATCCTGTATAAAAAAAATTTCGAAACATATGGTCTATTCGATATTGATATCGATTAATCATATCTATAAACCTTCGAATTAGATATTTATTATATTATGAAAAAAAAAATTTTTGTATTAGGTAGATATTATTATCATTAGTAAATCTAACTCACTGCCATGAATTAGATTCGATGATTTCAGTTACATTCTAAACAAGTAAGACGTACATTTCCTTCTATATGCCCTAGATCATTATTAATCCGATCAACTGTCCATTGATCTGAATTTCCAGCTTCATCCCAGTCCCACAACATTTCATTGAGGCATAATTCACATTTATTTTTTTGCAAATCTTTTAATACAAGGATATAATCAACAGATAAGTTAAATTCACGACCCTTTTTCTTATCTTGATCCATATATCCTACGAGTTTTCCTGAAATAAATGGTCTTAAGGATCGCTCAATTGCTTTCTTATTTTTTGCTTCCTCAATCTCAGGAGGTAATGGAGGACCTTCAATTCGCACAAGTTGATTCAAATATTCTACACGACCTACTGCAAGATATATTAGATTATCCCATGCCAAATGTTCATCAATAACCCAAACTCGTTGTGGGGCTTCAAGCGTCATTCCTTGACTAGTATGTACGGTCATTGCATATCCCAAATCCCAGTCAAGTATTTTTTCTTCCTTAAGTATATCTGCTATAAATATTTCAGGGAGCGTATTCAACGATAAATGTACTATATCATTTTTGACTAGTTCTTGTTTCTCAGATGAACCGGGAATTGGGACGAGACAGTTTTGTTTACGTCCATCTCTTGGTCTATATATTAATGGAACTGGTAGATCAGGATATTTAATACGATGGAGTTCAAGGCATTTTTGCGATGCAATTCTTCGAGATAGGCGATGTGCCGATAATATGCGATCTGAGGGAGTCCATTCCTTTTCAAGACGTTCCCATTTTTCTATAGTTGGGAGAATTCCTCGAAATAATTTTGATTGTACTCTGTTATTTTTACGACGCATAGCTTTTTTGAGCTCACGTAACTTAGGACATTTTCCACGATAATCAGTTTTAACTTCCTCATAATAATTAGCATTTTTTTTCAACCAGTCATGGGGCATTTCTCCAAAGAATGGTGGAGGCTGGGCATCATCTCCACAACAGATTACCTGACATTTATGTTTCAGCAAATAGTTAATAAACATTTCGAGAATGTGTTTAGGTACTGTACATACCTCATCCCATATAATGACTCGTGGAAATTTCTTTTCTCCCATACGTTCAGGCGTCCATTCTCCCACTCCATTCCATCTGAAGAAACTATGCCAAGTTTGAGCTTTCACATCACGCTTATCTCGAAAATCTTTAGCTAATGCATTTGTATGTGTAAAGACAATCATATTTATATTTTTAAAGATTCGAATTGCACGTGTTGTTTTACCAGACCCTCCTCCACCATTAAGATATGATGCTCGACATCTTGTTATAGGATCATGAATGGGAGGTGCTATACTATCAGGAATATCTTTGATTGATTCCCAATGCCTATCTTTTGACCAATATATAATATTCTGATCTGGTCCATAAATCTTTTCACCTTTATCACGCCATTGACCAGGCTGAATTTCTCGAATCTCAGTTTTATTTATATTCAAGTTAATTCTCTCTTTTTCTGTCTTTTTATTAGATAATATACGCCATCCTATCCAACAGTAATAACATGTAGGTGGATTATGTCCACAAGCGAATTTTTTTGCTTTCGGTAAAATAACATTTTCTTCCCAATAATTTTTTGGTGTGATCATATCCATTTCTACCTTTTTCATACGAAAATAACACCACAGACACTCACTATCGTCATGTGCACATTTGTAATTTTTATATGTACACCAGACACAAGCAGATCTGTCATGTATACATACCTTCTCTTTTTCTACCAGGTGAATTTGAGTCTTGAAGAATGCCGGTATATTTTCAATCTTATATAAAGCCTCTTTTTGTACATATATAGAATCAGTAGCAATTCTTACTACTTCATTTGGATCAAATCTTCGTAACATTTCAAGTAAATTAATATGGGCATATGCTAACATAGAGGCTCGCAAATGTGTATATTGCGGTTGATGCCCTTCATAGTATGTAAGTATAAATCCGAGTGGACATTTCTCCCTACCTGCAAAAGTTCCAGCATCGGTACAATCTTTAATCAAGAAATCCAGCTCACCTTCATCTGTTACAAGTCGATGAGTAAGTCGTTTTTCATCTATCTTACCTCCTTGTGTAAACTTACCTATGATTGCACAACTAATATCACGATTTTTAGGTAACCATACTTTTGTTTGTTTGGTAAGAGAGATAATTGCTTCTCCAACCGTTAAATCTTCTAAAATGCCAACCTCAAGAAGATATTGTAATATTACTATTGGAGCCCATCCTTTACTTTTTACACATCCTTCTCCACTTCGACATGCAAAATGTTTTCCATACCAAACAGGAATTACTGGATGAATATTTGATGCAAATTTGAAAGATTTTACTTGCGCAAATCCGGTAATATCATCTTTTGGTAATTCTCCATTCACTGCTACTCGAACTAGATGGTGCGTTGGATGGCCAAATCGATTAAACCATGATGTACATTCTCCTTTACCTTGCATACTAGCTGGATAGCAAGATTTCATGTCAATACATACAACATCACTGATATGGTAATCAGGTGCATTCCAGCGTCCGCCGTGGCCATGCTCGATACAAGCTTGTTTTATTTCCTCATTTATTTTTCCAGATATTGGATGCCATTCATTGATTTCATTGGCAAGTCGACTTCCTGCATGGTTTGCGCCAAATACCTGTTCTGCTAAATCAACTATTTTAAGAGACTCTGAAATAATCGATTTTTTTTCCTCATTAATTATGTTCTCTTGAAATTGCCAATTTATCGCATCATCGACTAATTGTTTACATGATTCTATAATTTCTGTATGCTTTTTCCATGTTCTGAATGTGCGACCATCTTCTAAAACAAATTG